TCCACTAGATTCTGCTATGTGTATTTGTTAAATACTAAGGATGAGGCTCTCAACTACTTTAAAGTCTATAAGGCTGAAGTTGAGAACCAACTTGAGAAGAAAATAAAACGAGTTCGATCTAATCGTGGTGGAGAGTACATTTCTAATGAGTTTGATTTATTCTGTGCGGAACATGGCATTATTCATGAGAGGACGCCTCCCTACTCACCCCAGTCAAACGGGGTTGCCGAACGGAAAAACCGTACTCTAACTGATTTGGTTAACTCCATGTTAGATACATCGGGTTTATCCAAGGCATGATGGGGGGAGGCTGCATTGACATCTTGTCATGTCCTGAATAAAGTTCCCACAAAGGATAATGAGACTACTCCCTATGAGCAATGGGAAAAGAAGAGAACTACACTCTCTTACTTGCGCACTTGGGGCTGTTTGGCGAAAGTCAATGTGGCGATAATCAAAAAGCGCAAGTTGGGACTAAAGACCGTGGACTGTGTTTTTCTTGGCTATGCCAAGCATAGCGTTGGCTATAGATTTCTAGTGGTGAAATCTAAGGTACCTGACCAGAAGGTCGGTACAATTATAGAGTCTAGGGATGCTATATTTTTTGAGGATATTTTCCTCATGAGAGATATGCAAAGCAGTTCTAGACTGGAATCTGATGAGACTCCTGAACCTGCTATTCCGATGGAATATCATGAACATAAAAGTGATAAGAGTTCCACGGAGGATGACGAAGAAGCTCCTGTTAGGAGCAAGAGACAGAGGACTGCAAAGTCCTTTGGTGATGATTTCCTCGTGTACCTCGTGGATGATGATACTCCCAGCTCCATTTCAGAAGCTTATGCATCTCCGGATGTTGACTACTGAAAGGATGCGGTCCGTAGTGAGATGGATTCCATCTTGGCTAATGGGACATGGGAGATCACTGATCGTCCTTATGATTGTTGACCATTAGGATGTAAGTGGGTGTTCAAAAGGAAGCTTAGGCCCGATGGTACTATTGAGAAGTATAAGGCTAGGCTTGTGGCCAAGGGTTATACCCAGAAAGAAGAAGAGGATTTCTTTGACACTTATTCACCTGTGGCTAGACTGACAACCATTCGAGTGTTACTCGCTTTGGCTGCCTCGCATGGTCTTCTTGTTCATCAGATGGACGTTAAGACGGCTTTCCTTAACGGAGAGCTAGACGAGGAAATTTACATGAAACAACCGGATGGCTTTGTAGTAAATGGTCAAGAAGGAAAGGTGTATAAGCTAGTGAAATCTTTGTATGGCCTGAAACAAGCGCCTAAGCAATGTCATGAGAAGTTCAACACTACTCTGACATCTGCTGGCTTTGTTGTGAACGAAGCTGACAAATGTGTATACTATCGCTATGGTGGGGGCGTAGGAGTTATACTGTGCCTGTATGTCGATGACATACTGATATTTGGGACCCACCTCAAGGTCATTGAGGAGGTCAAGTCTTTTCTATCTCACAACTTTGAGATGAAAGACCTGGGTGTGGCTGATGTTATCCTGAACATCAAGCTACTGAGAAATTCTGAGGGTGGAATTACACTTTTGCAATCCCACTATGTTGAGAAGATTTTGAGCAATTTTGGATATTCAGACTGTAAACCTTCTGCAAGACCATATGATCCTAGCGTGCAGATTCGAAAGTTCGAAGGCACAGCTGTAGATCAATTGAGATATTCTCAAGTGGTTGGTTCACTGATGTACCTAGCACGTGCTACTCGTCCTGACATCTCATTTGCTGTGTGCAAACTGAGCCAGCTTGTTTCCAATCCGGGAGATGTGCACTGGCATGCTGTTGAGCGAGTGATGCGTTATTTGCAAGGTACTTCGAACTATGGAATTCACTATTCTGGGTACCCGACGGTACTTGAGGGGTATAGTGATTCGAATTGGATATCTGATGCTGATGAGATGAAAGCCACTAGTGGACATATCTTCACACTTGGTGGTGGTGCTGTTTCCTGAAAGTCTTGCAAGCAGACGATCTTAACCAGATCGACTATGGAAGCAGAACTCACAATATTAGACACATCATGCGTCGAAGCAGAATGGCTTCGAGAGCTTTTGATGAATTTGTCGATGGTTGATAAACCAGTGCCGGCTGTCCTTATGAATTGTGACAATCAAACAGTGATTGCCAAGGCTAAGAGTTCAAAGGACAACACGAAATTCACAAAGCACATAAGAAGAAGATTGAAATATGTCAGAAAATCAAGAAACTCCGGAGTAATAGCGTTGGATTATATCCAGACGGCTAAGAATCTGTCAGACCCTTTTACGAAAGGGCTATCACGGGTTGTGATAGAAAATGCATCGAGAAAGATGGGTATGAGACCCACGTAAGTTGCCATGGGGGTAACCCAACCTATGTGATCGGAGATCCCGTGAATTAGGACCTAGGAAAACAATTCAGCGGTGAACTGAGGAGAGTATCCTTAATTAACCCACTCCATTGGAGATGCACAATACTCTCAATTCTGTAAGGCAGACTGTCTTTTGTTTTAATGTGTTCCAAAGCTTGTGTAAGCAAGATGCTAACCTACAGAGCATTCTTTGGAGGAACACACCTATGTGAGCCCGACTGCTGGTCACAGTCTATGAGATTGGGTAATCTCTATTAAGCTCATGAGAAGGTACAGAGTATGACTAATAAGCTCCACCCGTGGGGTTTAGCCTTCGGCAGCCATGTATCAGCTGACAATAGGCGAAACTTCTGCACGTCAAACTGACAATTCAAGGCATAGTCCATTGTTCAGTTGTGAATAAGTCTAATCCTGTTGCTCTAGGTGGAAGTTCAACTTAACAGTCTCCACTGAAAATTCTGGTATATCAAACATTGTTTGGAACAGTTGACAAACTTATGTGCCTTGAGATCTGGTGAGGGATTGTTGGATTATGGATGGGCTTAGGCCCATATAAGACACTAATCCCTGGTTAATCTTGAGGCCCATGTATGAGATGGCAGGTGGTGGGAAGTTTAGTCCCACCTTGCTAGTTGAGGAGAGTTGAGACCCCTTTATAAGGACTGTTCTACCACTTGCCATTGGGAGCTTGGAAAAAAGAGTGGTACACGCGCGCTCCTCCTCCTCCTCCGCCCGCCTCGCCACGCTTCGCCTCGTCATGACGCGCGCGGGTTGCGGGAATGAGCCGAGCCGAAGCTTATTTTTGCCGCTCAGGAATGAATTAATTAATCAGGGATTAATTAACGAGCCGCTAACATGTGGGCCACTGTCCAAGACGTTGGACTGTGGGCTCACTTGCGTTGCCGGGATTCGTCGACCCCTTGCCGGGGTGCGACGCTTGCCGGGAACAACGACTCCCTTGCCGGAAGTGGGTCGACTCGGTCGTGGGCCTCCGCAAGGCCCATGACTTTCTTCCTTATGGACTATATAAGAAGGCTCTGGCCAGTGAAGTAACCAAGTTCGGTTCACTCACTCCCTCTCGCGTGACCTAGCCGTCATCTACTGTTCCTCACTCTGTGCTGCCTCCGGCGATCCCATCCCGACGACCGCGTGCACGGCTGGTCGGGAGAACAGGTGCCTCCGGAACCTTGTCGTTCGAGATCCTGCCCGGGAGAACGACAATAAGGTTTTTGGGAAGCGTCTCGACGCGACTGCTCCCGATCCGTCCCCAACTCTGTTCGCCTCTACTTCCACTACTTCCTCGGCATCGACACCATGGCCGACGCCGCCACCGCTAAGAAGAAGGCCACGGACGACGCCGAGGCTGCCACTGTAGCCGCCGCGTTGGCCTGGCCAACCGGAGGGTATGATCTGTTCATCCCTCGTTTACTCGTACTTATACTAGCCGTATATGTGCTGCTCATAGAATGTTCGATTTTATGTTCTGTACGTGCCAGTATGCTTAGGTATTGCTATGAGATGCATACCTTTTATGCCATGCTTACTGCTTATTTGTGGATAAGTCTAATTGGAAAAGTGCTAATATTTCTAACACTAAACGCTTTTATATTTCTTTACAGAGGGAGTAGCTTTCTTTCTTGGTGTGTGTGTGTGATACGATGACACGGTGCACAGGATGCTGGCGCTAAAGAAGACCCAGGGCCCGTAAGTCATGGGTACCTCTGTTTAGGACAAGTCATGGGTATCTCTTGTGTTAACCATCATAGATACCTCAAAAAACAAGCAGCGATAATGCGGTCTCAACCAACCAAAACCAAAACTAAAATCCAAGTGGGTGGGTATTGAGTATTGACACATCGTCATGCAGCTGACGTATGTGTATATGGCGCCCTATTTCCAGCTCCACCCTTGGCTGAATCATGCATGCTTGTCTCCATTTCTTCGTATATATGGTCTGTAGAAAATGCAGTTATACTCGCTCTGTACAAGGGATCGACGACTGGTTCAGTACTCAATAATGATTCACAGCGAAAACACGGCATGCGTGCTGCATATTGTATTCATCCACCATACTATGCACTGTTAGTAGTTGATAGTATATGGGTGTTTGATTGACTGACCTCGCGAGACGACCGGACTCCGCGCCCTACTATCAACTGCGGTTAAACCTGCTCTCTTCCTCCTTAATCAAACCATTTAGTACCTGCATTATGTGGGTTACTTTCAAGTTAGTAGTAGTACTATATATGTTAAGCTGTAGCCTGTTCCACTCAGGTAAGAACGGTCGCAGCACGAGCGGAGCGTATTCACACCGGCCGGGTGCAACGTTGGATATTCCTTATTTTGTTCTTTTCCTCGAAACTTATTTACTTTGGAAATTACTCTACCAGTTGAGGCTGAGAAGATGAAAATATCTTGTTTAAAGATAAAGAAAAGATGAAAATATCTTTAGCGTGCGCTTTATGCTTTTGAGAGAGGTCAGTCCGTCAGTACCTCAGCTCCTTCTCCCGCCCCGGCTATATAAGCGACTCGACCCACACATTCATCGCTCCCCCCCTCCTTGCACGCCATCGAGAGCCATCCTCCCCCCTCTCGCGGTCTAGTATGCTCTTGCCCGAGATGAACTGCTCCTTCCTCAAGGCGGCGGCGGTCGCCGTGGTCGTGGCGGTTCTGGCGGCCACGGCCGGCGCAAACTCCTTCGTCTCCGTGGCGCCTCTCCCCGCCGTTTTCCTCTTCTCCCCTCCCTGCTTCCTGTGGATCGCCGCCAACGTCATCGTCGTCTGGCTCCTTTCCTCCTGCCGCCACCGCGGAACAGCCGTCGCGGCCGGACTCTCGTCCACGGCCAGCGACGTATCCGCTGCCATGGGCGGCATGCTCTTCCCTCCGTTGGAACACGACGTCTTTGCTGCCGCTCCTGATGACGTCGTCGCGCCGCCGGCGCCGGTCTCGACGAGCCGGCCGCGGGAAGCGAGAACGGCTAAGAGGCCGGTCGACCGCCCCCGCGTGCGGAAGAAACTCGCCGGCGAGGGCACGGTCACGGTGGGAGGCGCCGTGGCGGAGGCCAAGCCCAAGGGCAAGAAGGAACACATCGAGGAGGAGAAGCCGAGGCCCTCGGCCGCCGCGACCGAGGCCAAGGCCGTTGGCGTGGACGACGTGTCTATGGACACGGCGTGGCAGTCCATCGTGAGGAGCGGCGCGGCGCGGCCGGTGGCCGTGCGGAAGAGCGAGACGTGGGGCGGCGAGGAGCTGCCGCGCATGCGGCGCGCGGCCGACAAGGCCGTGGTCGCGCGGAGGGAGATGCGTAAGTCGGCCACGATGGTCCCGCCCTCCCCGCCGCACCCGGCCGCGGCGTCGTCCCCGGTGGCGGAGAGGCAGGGGTGGCGCACCAGGGACGTGCTGGGGATGGCGCAGGACGAGCTCCTCCGCCGCGCCGAGAGCTTCATCCGGAGGCAGCACGAGCACCTGCGCATGCAGCGGCAGGAGTCCGAGCAGCGCCAGGCCATGGAGCGCGACCGCCGCCGCCCTGCTCCCATCCGCGTCTAGTCGCCGGCCAGCACGACATGCATCGCACATCGCCTATGCACGCGTAGCGTACGTACGTGCTAATCCATCCACAGGATGGATGGATGCACGCGTCCATGCATGTACGGAAGGAAGACTGTACAGAAGTTGGTCAGCTAGCTAGCCGTACTAGCATAATCATCAAGAGACAAAGATGCCTGCCGCCATTGCATGCCTAGAAGGAACGATGGAAGGACTACGTAGGTAGAGGGGGAGGATCCGGCCATGGCTGTCTAGCTACGTAGCACACTGAAGCAGTACTGGTCTGGTCATGCACCGCGTCCTGCAGCTTCGGTCGTTGTAGATTAAATCCGTATGTACGTAGGATCATGGTTGAGTGAGTGAGGAATCAACGCTACATGTAAGTTACTTTAACCTCTAAATAAATGAAGAGCGGTAGCCGTTTCTTTGTTCTTTTGCTCAATTTTGCTGTTTCAAATTCTCGGAGACCCCTGTCCGTAGCGCAAGAATTTCGTAGGAAATCCACAAGAAAATTCATCTCACTTGCCTTGTTCATCACAAAGGATGTGTGCTTGATAGCTGAATAGGTAGATGTGAGCATGCTTGAGATTAAGGGCCTCTTGCATCAAGTGGATTTTGGATTTCACTGATTTAGTATAACTTTGTACCGTATCAATAATAATTAATATTGATTGAAGGGAGTAAAGGATTAAAATCGTAAGGAAATTTTCTAACTATCCCTGATCGTAGGATTGCAAACCTCGTTGCATAAGAGTTGCGGCCAGCCTATTTGGATCGTGAAATTCAAATTGGATCCTGAGAAGAAAAAAGACAAGAATATAATAGGAGTGCATGCACAAAAAGAGGATTGTAAAATGCGGGAATCTTGAAACTTGGGTATTTGGTCCACAAAAATAGAAAAGCATGTTGATCTTAATAAGCACAATCAAAGTAAAGTCAAACCATATGAAAATATATAATTAGGATATTATTAGACCTTTACGTACGAATTACTAAAGGAGGTCTGAGTAGATTGTAAATTCTCGCGTTTTTCTTTAAAACTGTGATCAAAGAAATGTTTCCTCCTTTTTCATTTACTCCATTACTTTGAATCAAATTGATGAATGGTAGTACCAAAGGGGAAAACACATACTTATAGTTTCCTCCACTTCTCCTATGAACTATAGAGGCCCTGATTTTGGAGGAATCCAAACATGAGGTCAGGCCAAATGGATTTTTCTTTAAAGTTCCAGTGCATCTTATGTCTTTCTCTCTGGATTCTCTTCCTAATCAAGTAACACACAATCTTAGAAATTTTATATTTTTTCTCCGCGGATCGTCCAAAGGTTCTTCGGAACGTTCCTTATATTTTTGTTTGCTTTACGATTCAAGATGTCATGACATTTCAATCATGTGCTTTTCATATTTCCTTTTTTGGTCAACACTTTTTTCTCTCTCCACGCAACGTTCCCTAGTCGCGGTCGGATTTGGTCATCATGAATCACCATACATGTTTTGATATCACTGAAACTAGCAGAAGCCGACATACGCGAGCACTGCTTCACATTGGAGATACCTCCACCGTCTTTCGGCCTCCGGAGATATTGTTTTCCTCAGTTAGGCTTGCTGAGTTCTTCGGCACTTCGACCATAGCTATGGTGGCAACAATGCTTAGGATCATACCTTGTCCAGATCCGTCTTTGATGCGTCTGCTGGAGCCGATGGCATTGCTTGCCAGTTGCCAGGCCGAAGGAGAAGATGTGTTGCATCTGGTTGTAGTTTCGGATGGGTGTGTTGAGGAACTCAGCGCCCTTGGGGCGGTCCTAAGTAGAAGCACAAGTGTTATTAGTTGTTAGAAGGCAATGGTTGACAGTGTGCAAAATAAGGGGACGGTGAGCTAACCGCGACATCGCCGGTGTAGTGCTCTGCCTTCAGAATGATAGAGAAAGTGCTCTGATCCCAGGATGCGCCACTAAAGTCTCAGAGCTTGGACACTTGGATCCATCGAGCTCTTGTACGATCGAAAGTATGTCTAGAGGGGGGGGGGGGCGTGATTAGACTACTTGACCACATAAAAATCTAGCCTTTTCCCAATTTTAGTTCTAGGCAGATTTTAGCAACTTAGCACAAGTCAAGCAATCAACCTACACATGCAATTCTAAGAGTATAGCAGCGAAAAGTAAAACAATTGCATATGAAGGTAAGGGGAGGAGTTTGGAGTATGCAAACGCAATTGGAGACACAGAGATTTTTGGCGTGGTTCCGATAGGTGGTGCTATCATACACCCACGTTGATGGAGACTTCAACCCACGAAGGGTAACGGTTGTGCGAGTCCACGGAGGGCTCCACCCACGAAGGGTCCATGAAGAAGCAACCTTGTCTATCCCACCATGGCCGTCGCGCACGAAGGACTTGCCTCATTCGGGTAGATCTTCACGAAGTAGGCGATCTCCTTGCCCTTACAAACTCCTTGGTTCAACTCCACAATCTTGACGAAGGCTCTCAAGTGACACCTAACCAATCTAGGAGACACCACTCTCCAAGAGGTAATAAATGGTGTGTTGATGATGAACTCCTTGCTCTTGTGCTTCAAATGTTAGTCTCCCCAACACTCAACTCTCTCTCACATGATTTGGATTTGGTGGAAAGATTATTTGAGTGGAAAGCAACTTGGGGAAGGCTAGAGATCAAGATTTATGTGGCTGGAGTGGAATATCTTGATCTCAATACAATTGTAGGTGGTTCTCTCTCAGAAAATGTATGTTGGAAGTGTAGGCATGTCCTGATGGCTCTCTCCACGAATGAAGAGTGGGTGGAGGGGTATAAATAGCCCCCACACAAAATCTAATTGTTACACACAAATTACCAAACTCGGTGGGACCGAATCATGAAACTCGGTCAGACCGATTTAGTTCAAAATGTGAACGTTAGGATTTTCTGTGGGACCGACATGTCAACTGGGTAGACCGATTTTGTTAGGGTTAGGGCATAACGTAATCTCGGTGAGACCGATTTTGGTAATGGACTAACAGAGAGTTGGTCAGGCAAACTCGGTGGGACCGATTCGCTCATCTCGGTTGGACCGAAACGTTATGAAAGGGAAACATAGAGTTTACATTGCAATCTCGGTGGGACCAATCTCTCATCTCGGTTGGACCGAAACGTTACGAAGGGAAACAAAGAGATTACAATTCCATCTCGGTGAGACCGAGATCCCTATCGGTGAGACCGAAAAGACTAGGGTTTCTGGCAGTGGCTATGTCAACTAAACTCGATGGCGCCGGATAGAAAGTTTCGGTGGGGCCGAGTTTGACTTTTGGTTTGGGACATATGTGGATGTGAGAAAGTAGTTGAGGGCTTTTGGAGCATATCACTAAGCACTTTGAGCAATTAAGCCATTAGGAAACACCTCATCCCCTCTTACTAGTATTGGCTTTTCCTATGAACTCAATGTGATCTTGGATCACTTAAATGAAAAGATGTAGAGTCCCGAGCTTTGTGCTTGAGCCAATTCTTTGTCCTTAGAATTTTGAGGGATCCATGCCATGCCAATCATTGAGCTTTCCTGAAATGTTTATCTTTAAGTAGCATTAGCTCAATGAGTTATATGTTGTTAGGAATTACCAAAACCACCCAGGGATAGTTGCACTTTCAATCTCCCCCTCTTTGGTAATTGATGACAACATATAGGTCAAAGCTTCAACAAATGATAAATAAGATTGAAAAAAACATTGTCGCTTTGAGAAGTATGTGATAAGTAAGAGCTCCCCCTAAATTTGTGCATTATTTAAAATTTGCTTGTGAATGCAAATGCACAATCGATTAGGATCATGGGTTACTCTTCCATGTCACATACATCTTGGTGGAGCGCTCAAAATGATAGAGATTAAAAGCATGCACTCATCACCAAGCAAGTGAATGATCATATAAGGATATAAGAGATAGCATCATTCAACCAAGCATTAAGGGTAGCATATGATCAAACACATGATCAACAAGTATCTCACAAGGACATAAAGTATCTCACACAAGCACTCAATAAAGAAGTTCAACCAAAATAGCAAGAGAGATAAAAAGAACAACACTCTCTCTCTCGAAGCCTATGATCTATACATTTTTCTCCCCCTTTGGCAACAAGTTACCAAAAAGTTCAAAAATGCATAGTGCTAAACAACTCTCAGGCTTGATCTTTGGGAGGTGGTGTAGAGAGAACTCCAAGGATGAAGGCTTCCGATGAAGTAGTTGGAGCTAATGGAGTGGGTGCTAGAGGTGGCACTGGAGCTGTGGCTGCTGGTGCTGACACTGAAGCTCGAGTATCTGAGACTGGCACTGCAACAGACATTGTACCTCGTGGCACACGCTTGAAAGCATCAGTAGTTGATTTGTCCTTCTTCTCCTGTGCTTCCTCCTAAAGCTGCTCAACTGCAGTTTGGATCTCAGTTACCTTGACATCCAGATCATAGAACTTCTGCTCAACGATCCTCTCCAAGCTCTCCTGATTCTGAGTCAGGGTGGCCAAGCCCTTCTCAATCCTTAGTGTAGCTTGAATCGGATATCCAAGCTGATCTTGCTTGCTCTTCAGGAATACTTGAGATGCCTCTTCAACAGTTGGCATCCTTGCAGCTTTCTCTGCCCTTGCCTTCTCTCTCTCTTCTCATGTGCTTGAGCTGAAGATGGTTCATTTTCATTCATGACAATAGTATTGTCTTCAAAATCAGGATAGATGGGCAGGTGCTCCTTATCCAAAAGATACTTGCATGTGCCCATCTTTGAGTTGACGAGCTCCTGAATTTATGGGGCATACCCACAACTCCTCTTCTGATCAGCTGCTGTCCTTTTGATTGTCTCCACAATCAGACTCATGACTTTGAATTTTTGAGGCACATCAAACAAATGTAGCAAGTTGATGGTATGTCCTCTGATCATCTTGTGATCACCTGACTTGGGTAGCAGTGTGTGTCTGAGGATCCAATTTATAGTAGGCAGACCAGACAACAAGTAGTGGACAGATCCAAACTTG